CCTTACCACTAGGCTTGGTGACCAAGGCGTACTGAATTAGCACTCCCACAATGCACTGCGGCCTCCGCGATTTTTTTTATACTGCGCACATTAATCATGCAGACCCATTCTCTCACATGTATGTCTACCAGCTTTCTCCTGCTAGATTTGAAGCCGCTAGAATTTTGGCATATTAATACGTCACCAACACTGGCTTGTAAGCCATACCTATACGGCACCGATAGTTAAAGGGTTAATGCTGATACAGTGGACCCTCATTTTTTGTAAGCATCAGAATTTGGAATTTTCGCTAATTGTAACATTTTTTCATCAAAATATTGACTTGCGAATCGCCGTTTGACTTGCAAATAGTCATTTGTCCCAAACTCGTACAAGTGGCCTGAGCAGCCTCACACACCATTCACAGTCAGAGTGCCATTGTTTATCAGTGAGTGATAAATTAGACACACGTGCAACTCTTGGGTATCTTTATTGAGGAAACGTTTCGCCACACAGTGGCTTCATCAGTCTAATTCATCAACGTGTCGGTTCTCTGAACCATTCACCTACATCAGTGCATGAGCACAATCCCACATGTTCATACGATACATTTTGTAATATTCCAATCATTTTAGTGCTTGCAACTGTTAAATAAGGCCACCATGGGCCCAAAGAAAGCTAGTGCCAGCCCTTTGGTAGAGAAGTTGACAAACACAAAAGAATTAGAGAAAAAGATTGTAGAAAAATACGAAAGTAGTGGTGGTAGTGATAGTGATGGTGGTAGTGGATGTGATGGTGGTAGAGGGTGGTAATGATGGCAGTAAAGGGTGGTAGTGATTGTGGTAGAGGGTGGTAGTAGTTGTGAGGGTGGTAGTGATTGTGCTGGTGGTAGAGGGTGGTAGTGGTTGTGATGGTGATGGTGGTAGTGATGGTGATAGTAGTGGTGGTAGTGGTTGTGATGATGGTAGAGGGTGGTAGTGATGGTGGTAGAGGGTGGTAGTGATGGTGGTGGAAGTGGTTGTGATGGTGGTAAAGGGTGCAAGTAATGGAGATTTGTGCAATGTGCAGTAGGATGGAAAGATTTGTGGAGGGACATCACCCTAACAAAGCTGTTCCAAGCCGTGTCGGCAACACGTACAGTGACAATGTCTTGTAAATTTTAAAGAGATGCCAGAAACAGAGCTCTCTGGACAGATATTTAGTGCTACAGGGGTGCAGTGACTCTCAAGCTGGTCCTAGTGGCATTAAAAACAAAGAAGGGAAGTAATCCCAGAAAAAGACTTGGTACCTGAAGTGTTTATGGAAGTGGATTACCCTTCCAAACAGTAATTTCTCCATTCTCTCCCCTCCTCGCATCTTCCATACACCAAGAAGAATCTTCAACAAAAGTAAGTGTCATGTTATTATTGTTTTATTCTTCATGTATCATTGTTTTCTGTGTATGTACATCTATATTTCATGTAAAAAATTATTTTGTTTTAATATTTTTGGGTGTCTGGAATGGATTAATTGGATTTACATTATTTCTTATGGGGAAATGGTTTCGCAAATTGTCAATTTCACCATTAGTCACACTCTCTGGAATGGATTAATTACGAAAAACGAGGGTCCACTGTACTTGGTTTGTTTACCTTTACACTTACTTTCGTCTGTCTGTACTCAGTCATAAAATTTTCTCACCACTTGGCCAAGCACAGACATTAATAGGTAATAACTCGTTTTACTGTAGGTAGTAGGTTGGTAGACAGCAACCGCCCAGGGAGGTACTACCATCCTGCCAAGTGAGTGTAAAACAGAAGCCTGTAATTGTTTTACACGATGGTAGGATTGCTGGTGTCTTTTTTTCTGTCTCATGAACATGCAAGGTTTCAGGTACATCTTGCTACTTCTACTTACACTTAGGTCACACTACACATACATGTACAAGCATATAGTACATGTATATACACACCCCTCTGAGTTTTTTCTATTTTCTTACTAGTTCTTGTTCTTGTTTATTTCCTCTTACCTCCATGGGGAAGTGGAACAGAATTCTTCCTCCGTAAGCCATGCGTGTTGTAAGAAGCGACTAAAATGCCGGGAGCAAGGGGCTAGTAACCCCTTCTCCCGTATAAATTACTAAATTTAAAAAGAGAAACTTTTGTTTTTCTTTTTGGGCCACCCTGCCTTGGTGGGATATGGCCGGTTTGTTGAAAAAAAAAAAAATATACATAACATTCCATGGATTACAGGCGAGGTATATGAATACTAGTTTGCATTGCAAACTATTAGACAGACTGGTTCCAAATTTGAACAGTAAAATTAGTTTTGCAAAATCAGGACATAGAGAAGATGGTACAAAATACTTCCAGTGAAAAGAAGCAAAATAAACACAGTACATTACTGGATAACTCATCAAATATATATAGATAAAATACAGTGGAACCTTGGTTTTCGTCGAATTTGGTGTTCGATGACTTTTTTCATCAAAATACTGGCCCAGTTTTCATTCATCACCTTGGTTTTCATCCACCATACCAAATGTGTCCGCGCGCCCGCACCCACACAAAGCATCCCACGCATGCATTCTGAGTAAGTCTGGCTTTGTTTCTTGTTGAGTGAGCATTACTCTCCGCATTCATATGAAACATTTCATAATAATCGATTGTTTTTTGTGCTTGTTTATTGAGTGCGACTGCTAAATAAGCCACCATAAGGCCAAAGAAAGTTTCGAGTACCAGCCCTTTGATAAAGGTGAGAAACATGATAGAATTCAAGAAAGAACTTGTAGAAAAGTACGAAAGTGGCATACACGTGGTCAATCTTGCCAGGATGTATGGGAAGTCCTCAGACTCTCTGGAATGAATTAAAAACGAAAAACCAGGGTTCCACTGTATTAACAGAATTACTAATAAAATCCAGTCTTCTAAAAGGAACGTAAAAAAGTTCGTCAAGGCAGTTCCTGATCCACTGTGATGCTTGTATAAGGCTGCATATATTAAGAACCAACAGCATGGCTTACCAGACCATCAACCAGGAGGTCTGGTCCAAGACAGTGCTGTTGAGGCAATGATCACCTGAACTATCAACCATATTTATTAACTATTCTTGGTTACAATAGAAACTTACACAACTTATAAGAATACAATAAGAATACAATAAACAAGCAAATAATAATAAACCATCACATAGCAAGCAATCTGTTAATACATTTCTGCTCCAACATGGATGAAAAATTACAGCACATTTTCAGTGAATATGCCATAAAAAAAAATCTGTTTTCACAATGAAGTATGTGTAGGGGAAAATGTAACGTATGCCAGTCTTTCTCCTCTGTCTCAGAGTGAGCCTCAGGGTCACTCAATTGTCTTACAGGTTAGTGAGTAGAAGCATGCAAGCTAGTGGGCGAGTATGTGCAACCTAATAAGTGAAGACAGGGTACTGAGTGAAGAAGGGTGAGAAGCTCTGAAAGAAGGGGTGAGAGTGACCCATGGATGCATGATACTGCTGTCCCTTGTTCCCTTCACCCACTGTACCTCCCATGTGGAGCATATGGACAAATGGGCACTACTGTGGGCATGAGTAGAGACAGGTGGGTGAGGATATGAAGGTTAGGGAGAGTTTGGGGAGAGGTGGGTGCAAGGTCCTTGAAAGCGTGGTGGTGGAGAGCAGGGGGGAGCATGGAGGGTGAGTATGAGTGAAGGGCAACTGTGGGCCTGGAAGTGAGACTACGCATCTAATACCATACTTTACCTACCTACCTGGACTCTTTCTGGAGGCTGTTCCAAGGGTCAGTGCCCCCATGGGTCAATGCCCAGTCCTTGACCTTGTGCTACATTCATACGCATCTGGTACCATATCTGGGCCATACACCTTTGCCTACACCAACTGCTTATTCATAATCCTCCCACCCCCTTGGTCATACTCCCTCACTGCACACCCAGCAACCTCATCCATACTACCCACAACTTCCACCCATACCTCACACCTTTACCCACACCATTCCAACCAGCAACCACCCCCCACACAACTGCCCCACGGCCACATGCCATCACTCACACCAACCTACCCCCCCACACAATCCACCCATACAATTTTCCCCATAGCTACACCTACACCATTCTCTCAGGAACACATTCCCCCATGACCTCCTTGCCCGACCTTTTACCCTAACACGCCATCCGCACACCCAATCACTTAATCACCCGCCAACCTCATTACTGCCTAGACCACCAACCACTCACTCACCCACCCAATTACCTTTATCCAATCACCACTCATGACACCGACAACCACACTTTTTACCCACCACCCCCCTACATCTTCAAGCTCCACTCCCACACCTTACCCATGCTTTCACAACCCACACACCTAGTCATACCCTAATTACTGCCCACTACTGACCCATCATCCATACCATTGCCCACACTCACCCACATGGTCCCATCACACCACCTCACTGCTTCCAGCCTCTGCCCCCACACTCTTCCACCGCCCAGCATCCTCCACCTAACACCACCAGCCTCCAGTTCCTGTCCCCACCCCTCCACCATTCAATCTCCATTTCCCACCCCTTCAGTCCCCCATACCAAACCTGCTTTAATTCTTCCCATGTACACCCCAACAACTCTTGCCCCTCCTTTATAACCACAATACAGTTGCAAGACAGCCAAACAATAGGGTACCTCTCTTTGCTAGCAGAAATGTGATTGCAAGAACTTTGGCACACATCACCACATCAACTTACAATTAAATTATTATTGCTTTTTACAATTATGAAACCCATAAAAATTTGGTTGGCTTTTTAAGGGGGGAGGAGAGTCTAATGAAGGTAACCCTATTTTTCTCCCTATGTTCTGATGTTCAGTTTACACCCATGTTTTATTACATGCTATTTTCAGAAAAATAACTTTGCATTATCCGACAGTTGACTGTATTTGCTCTGTGGTAAGTCATGTTTTCTTTGGAAATAAATATCTAATTAGTTTGGATAAGTTAAATTTTTTCCCATACAGAAATCTAGAAAAAATAAGGGCACTTACCTGGCATTGCATATATGACATACAAAGGGTTTTTCACCAGTATGAATTCTCTCATGCCTTTCTCTGTGTTCTTTCCTCTTGAACTTTTTTCCACAATGAACACAATCATACTTGCGTATGTGAAAATGATGATCTTCCACATGACGCCGCAGGAGATTTGCATTTGCAAGTGTTACAAGACAAAGCTGACACTGCCGAGCCTGTCAAGAACAAAAACTAATTAATATCAGTTTATATTTTGCTTTTACTGTTTTTAATTTTAGGTTCATTGTATTACCTAAAAACCTGATAACTTATTGATTGCTTTTAACCACTAATATTTAAACAGCCTCTCCTCACTTAGCGATGTACTTGTTTACCGATACCCCGGACTTTCAACGGGCTCTCTAAGCAGTATGCATAAATAATGTATATCAGAGGTGATTTCCTCTATTCTGTTTATTACAATATACTGTACAATACTGTATAAACATTTAAAAATATACCAGAAATGTTATAAATGGTGCAAAGGTGACATTAAAACAATATCAAAGATAGCTGACACGAACCCACTACCATTATAGTATGCTCCTCACTTAGCGACGAATTCGTTTACCGATGTGGTCTTAGCAACGGAACTCTGTTGTTAAGTGAGGAGAGGCTGTATACTATTACAGTGGTACCCCGAACTTAGGCCATAAATCGTTCCAGAAGGCTGTTCGAGTGCCATTACTGAATGAATTTGTTCCCAAAAGGAATAATGTAAATTAGTCTGTTTCAGACCCTCAATAATACACTTACAAAAGCACTTACAATAATACACTTACATAATTGTTCAAGTTGGGAGCTGTACAAAACTGTACCACTGTATTATTATATTCCTAAAAATGAACTGTTCTTCTTAACTTTACGATGATCCATACATAAACTGTAGAAGATTCTACATAACTATGGAGAGTCAATTCATGGCAACTGTTAAACCCAGTTGTAGCTACACAGCTGCCAGGCTACAGTTTATAGCTACAACATGGCTGCCAGGCTACAGTTGTAGCTACACGGCTGCCAGACTACAGTTTATAGCTACAGCATGGCTGCCAGGTTACAGCTGTAGCTACAACATGGCTGTCAAGCTACAGTTGTAACTACAACATGACTGCCAAGCTACAGTTGTAGGTACAACATGATTGTCAGGCTACAGTTGTAGCTACAGGCTGCCAGGCTATAGCTGCAGTTACAACATGGCTGCCAGGCTACAGTTGTAGCTAAAACATGGCTGCCAGGCTACAGTTGTAGCTAAAACATGGCTGCCAGGCTACAGCTGTAGCTACAACATGGCTGCCAGGCTACAGTTGTAGCTAAAACATGGCTGCCAGGCTACAGCTGTAGCTACAACATGGCTGCCAGGCTACAGCTGTAGCTACAACATGGCTGCCAGACTACAGTTGTAGCTACAAAATGAATGCCAGGCTACAGTTGTAGCTAAAACATGGCTGCAAGGCTACAGTTACAGCTACAACAGGGTTGCCAGGCTACAGTTACAGCTACAACAGGGTTGCCAGGCTACAGTTACAGCTACAACATGGCTATCTGGCTACATTAGTGGAAAGGCTGTGCAAAGTTTTCTCTGCCTCAACATAGCTATTTTGTTTCTTGCATTTTATTATGTATTAATAATGAAGTAAAATGTTACTCTAACATTAAAGTTAAGTTTCATTCACATTCAAGGGAAAAATAGCTAATAGATTTTTCCACATAATTCCTTATCAGTGAAATTTCAAAAGACTATGAAGTTCCAGTACCTCAAAACTCCAGCCCGTCGCGTTAGCCACTAGACCAGCTAGCCACATAAGATTCATCCAACTAGATATATTTCTTAACACAATAGGATTTTAGCACATCAACCTCTGTGACCACAAATGCAAGTTTTTACAGACGAATCTCCAGCTAGCGTGGCCGTGACGAACTCTAGCTCAAGTCCCTTCACTGCCGTCAACATGACTTTATTGAATCGTTCAATGTACGATTTCTTAAGTAATGTGAGCAGTGGACTTGAGCTAGAGTTCGTCACGGCCACGCTAGCTGGAGATTCGTCTGTAAAAACTTGCATTTGTGGTCACAGAGGTGCCTGTGCTAACCTTCCTATGGTGTAGAAATATACCTAGTTGGATGAATCTTATGTGGCTAGCTGGTCTAGTGGCTAACGCGACGGGCTGGAGTTTTGAGACTCTATGACCGCGGGTTCAATCCCGGCCGAGGGTATGGTTTCCAGTACCTCATGTAAGTTAAAGCTATGAATACTGCAGGACACTAAGTCTTAATCTTTCTCAGTTTGTAATTATCATGGCTGACTCCACTCTAAGATGATGAAAGTTTTCCTTTAGATCACATATAGGATTTTATGGTCACTTTCAATTTATTAGTTTTAACTTTACTTTAACCTCTGACACCACTTTATTGTGGTGCAACAAAACTATCAATAAACAATACACAAATAAACCACTTAGGAGACTGAAATTTATGACTACGTTTTGGTCTGACAAGGGTTCAAGTCAGACCAAATTGTAGTCGTGAGTTTCAGTCTCCTAAGTGTGAGTTATTTGAGTACTGCTGCAGCCATGGTGTTGTGACTTTTTATTCTTTATCAATGAACAAGTTCTCCTAAGAGAGTGTAACACATTAAGTTTGTTAGGTTCTTCACTTGAATCAAATGGTACATGTGTGTACTTCAGTGGCTCTCTTCATAACTCTCTTCATAGTTTATAAACTGATACAATAACTTCAAACAGTTTTTCACTCAGCGCTACATTTTACCAGTGTTGCAACTATATAGGTTAATCTGTGTTTATTATAATAATAAGAGAAAAGCCAAGAATAATACTGTTGGATAAAGGCTCATAGCACTGCTCTAACAGCCCTGAGAGTACTACATTAGTTAGCCATAACAACACAACTTACAGGAATTATTAAGCATGACAGTGTTTTCAAATTCTATCCATTCCCTGCATCTGCTAACTACTGTACCTAAGAATATTTTATAAATGTGAACTTATTTTAGACCCTTCTTTCTTCATTTATGAATTTCCAATTATTGTTCAAATAATCATTATTATATATTTTAAACTTATTGTGTGTATTTTTTATATGAAGTTTTATGTTCTCCATGATGGTGCCCTCACCTTCCTGGCCGATGCTTGCATCATCACTACTGTCTCCCAGGAAGCATGGAAAGATATCGTAGGATGAAAAAGGTTCAAGCTATTGAGAACACTATCTGGTCTTTTATAATAATGTTAGTGATCACAGCAGAATAGTACCAAAACACACTAGCAAATATCTAAACACCAGTACAGGAATTAAAAACTGGAATACAGTACTTTACGTGAACTACAAAAACAAATTAGTTACATAGTTTTTAATCATACATTTTCTCACAACATACATCTTCATCATGACTTCTCTATTATCCTCCACGAGGTCAACTTAATTATATCACCATACACTTCTCATCAACTTCTAGTCTGAATCATTAAAACACATTATCATTCTCTAGTGTGTTCATTCTTTTACTACCAATAAGTTGATCTGGTTGTCTAGTGTTGCAACAGCGTTTCACATTCACACATCAGCTCCTCGTAAAGTCCTTTAACCACATCTTTCTGATTTACTCTTATCAACACACCTTAACCAATCATAAGTTAATAAAGAGTCCTTATTATCTCTCTGCTTCAGTTATTATTATGTTGTTCATATGCCTTTAACACATTCCACTGTAATGTAGATCTACTTCTTAACACAAAACATAATCTATTCTTTCCGAGCACAGTTACCTAATTGTGAAGAATAGAAATAAGGGACATGAAAACTCAGGCATTTTGATATGAATACTAAAATTTCTCAAACATTTCATAGCCGCTTAATATTTCTCAGTTATACACCACACACACTCAGTCCTTCAGATAAAGTTTTTGAAATGTTTCTCTCTCAAAATGCTCACCACTGTTTCAATATCAAAAACCATTTTTCTCCCAAATGTTTATTTAATTGTAGTACGTAAGTATCTATTTTTTACTACTATCTAATGGAGTATAATTTCAGAATTAGAACACACCTAATTTTATATTAAAATATATTAGTTATTCCCAGAAAATTTATCAGCAATACCCACATTACATTCAAAACACTATCTCACCTATTTTTATAATTGAAAACTTTACATCTGTATCATTTATCCCTGAATTTATTTCATTTTCCTTTACTGAACTATAAGCCAGATTATTCGACACATTCATTTGCTTATATCAATACGTTCTAATACCAAGCGGCTCACCAGGACAAAGTCACCTACATTAATTTGAGTATGATACTATTAGTCCTGGGTACCTGTCTACCCATGGCCACTATAGATAGTGGTGGAGAGGTAAATATACTTAAATTTGTGTATCGAGTTCTAAATTAATATGGAAGCTACAATAGTCACATTCCCCCACACACGAAAGTATTCACCTATTCTGTGGTTATTGTTAAGGTAAAATAAGGTCTAGGTATTCTGCCATAGCTGGAAGGGTCCACTCACCCCTAGACAGTTAAAGTGTCAGAAACAGTTATTAGCATTCAATAAGATAGAGATAAATAGGGGTAAGGAGGCAGCATCAGTGCACAGCCATGGAAAGACTGTATAGGTTCCCTACACACACACACACACACACACACACACACACACAGTGAGTCATGGTATGTGGCGAGGTGTCAGAGTGGGCACCTGTCACCAGCGGGGTCCCAAAGGGGTCGGTCCTAGGACCAGTGCTGTTTCTGGTCTTTGTGAACGACACGACGGAAGGAATAGACTCCGAAGTGTCCCTGTTTGCAGATGACGTGAAGTTGATGAGAAAAATTCATTCGATCAAAGACCAGGCAGAACTACAAAGGGATCTGGACAGGCTGCAGATCTGGTTCAGAAATTGGCTCCTGGAGTTCAACCCCACCAAGTGCAAGGTCATGAAGATTGGGGAAGGGCAAAGAAGACCGCAGACGGAGTACAGTCTAGGGGGTCAGAGATTACAAACCTCGCTCAAGGAAAAAGATCTTGGGGTTAGTATAACACCAGGCACATCTCCTGAAGTGCACATCAACCAAATAGCTGCTGCAGCATATGGGCGCCAAGCAAACCTCAGAACAGCATTCCGACATCTTAATAAGGAATCGTTCAGGACCCTGTACACCG